ATACTATCTATCTATCTATCTATCTATCTATCTATCTATCTATCTATCTATCTGCTAGCGTACGTGTGTATCTCTCTATGCTCTCTATCTCATCTACCAGTAAATTTATGTATGTTATCTCTCACATAAAGCCACGGTCCAAAACTCATATAAGCCTATATGCCACACAAGCTACTTTTAAAGATTACAAACACACACACACACACACACACACACACACACACACACACACACACACACACACACACACTCACACACACACACACACACACACACACACACACACACACACACACAAACACCCACACGTATGCACACGACAATCTTTACTCTGATGTTCTCGTTTAATATTATTAGCTAGAGTGTTTTGTTTCTTTAATTTTCTCAGTCCTTCACTCTTCTCCCTCCTTCCTCCTCATGGCCAAGAGCTCTTCCTTCGAAAGCTCTATATGTCGAATAAGGTGTTACATTCATATCACTGGTGTCCGATTCTAACTATGTATACACCAAATTAGGTCGAACACTTTTTGGGGGTCTCAAACTATGATGCCAACAACCGCGATTACAAATGGTTGTCCTATAATAGGTAAAAATAATTCTCCACACAAATGACTTGAGAAGTCATGGAAAATTATGAGAAAGACATTTCATTACATAAAAAAAATGAAAAGGGTTGACCTAATTTGGTGGATATATGGTTAGAGACGGTCACCGACGAATTATAACCACCACCCCTCCCAGTTGTTCAGCTGGAGCGATTTCTCTTTAGTGGGTGGTTGGCAGGTACTTTGGTGTGGTTTGCTCCTACCTTCTTTCCTATCAGACATCTATCGCCTTTATATCTCTCCTCCCTCTTTTTTCTGTATGTTACTCTCTTGTAACACATCTATTCTTCGGCACTTACATGACCTTATTGCGTTGCAAGTGCCGTAACACTCTTACTAAAACTAGATTTCTCTCTGTTGAACTTTCCAGTTGGAAAACCTGACGTTCTGGACGTTCCGGAAGAGAGACGTACCGGAAGTTGTCTACGAGGTCAACAGTAATACAGAAAGTCGCACGGACCCCGAGGTGGCGGAAACTGCTCTCAACGGTGACGCCCCCGTCACTCCCCAGGACTTCTCCGAGTGGAGACAGGCCCTCAGGCGGTTCAGGGATACAAGCGCCTCCATCGGGAAAGGTAATCTTTTAGTTTTAGTCTTTAGTAAGGTTTCACAGCGCTCGCAACTGCATACGGTCATATGAGAGCCAAGGGGTGGATGTCAACTGAGAAATCCAAACGAGGAATCCTGCTGACTCTGCTCACCTCTCCAGTCTTGACAGCACAAAGTCTTTTTCGACTATCAAGGCACCCCGGAAATAGCATGAGTTCACAAGAGAGTGACAAACATACAAAAGAAGTAGAGGAAAAATGACGATAGTAAGGATGAGGAAAGAAAAAGCAACAGTTCTCCCTATGTTGTTCCGGCACAGCATGAACATGGCATTGATAAATCAGCCCGTTTACATTTCTACTGTGCATAAGAACATGTTAATATCCCCTCACCCTTTGGGAGTGGCCTAAAGACAACTTCAGTCAGTAGCACTGCCCTGGGGGGGGGGGGGGGGTTAGGTAATCTTTGATTTACTGTAAATACAACTTGAGCACATAGAAGCATTTTTGAGTTTGTTTGAGTAAAGAGAAGCAAGTCGACACACTAATGGTCATTTAGTGCTGAGAAAAAGTAAAGAAGTAGGACCTACCAGTGACGACCTCCAACCACCCACGAACCATTTTGAACATAAATTGCTTGCTTAGTGAATGCTCAAAATGGCACAAACGTTTCTCTGCTTCCAGAATTATAAGTCTCATTATCCACAGGAAAAGCTACAAGTCATCTTAAACTTTAGTCCTTCTATTTCACTTATGCAATTTTCTCCTCTACGAAAACATTTAATTTGTCATCGCCAGACATTTTCATAGAACCATTATTACATTCTAGAAAGTATGTTCCTTTAAGATGATTATTTCAGTATCTTGTATGACGTTAATGATAATAATAGTTCGTCCATTATTAACGGATGACAGCCTTTAACATCCAAAGAGGAAGAGAACTTATAGACCTTGCTAGCCACCTAGTTATAGACCTTGCTCGCTGCTGCAGGTGGCTAGGCTAGCATGGTAAAGAGATGAAAGTCAAAGAAATAATAACAAGCAACTTTTAATAATCACAAACGACAACTAAACTTCACCAAACACACACACACACATACATACACACAAACACACACACACTTACTCACACATACACTGGCACACACACACACTCACACATACACACACTCACACACATACACTCACACACACACTCACACATACACTGACACACACACAAACACACACACACAAACACACACACACACACACTCTCTCTCTCTCTCTCTCTCTCTCTCTCTCTCTCTCTCTCTCTCTCTCTCTCTCTCTCTCTCCCCCCTCTCTCTCCCACACACTGTGGCTTCGGTAGCATAGAGGTTAGGCTGTCGGACTCGTAATCGTGAGGTTGCAGGCTTGAGGTTTCGAGTCTCAGCTCGGTCTGACGTTGTGTCCTTGGGAAAGGCCCTTTACACGAAATTCTCATTTGGCTCGATTTTTTCGGAGATGGAGGTAAAACTCGCAGGTCCCGCCTCTTAAATAACCGAATAGTGACGATAGAGGCGTAAAACCAATACAATGTAAGGACTACAGTGGCTAAGTGAGTAGTGAATCTAGACTCAAGAGTAAAATCAAGCAAGTGTCGATCACACGGGGATCAGATGGGTGGTCACTGGGGTGTGTCCTTGAGCAAGACACGATAGCTGCTTCTCAGCAAAGAGGGCGCTGCACAGTGGCGACCAGTAATGCTGATATGGTTGTGAAATTGTTCGGTATTGGTGTAATATAATGTATAATATGTGTATGCATTAAGTACGTATGTATTCATAATTATGTTTATGCCTGTATGTTTGAACATCTAGCTCCCACTGGCAAAATTGAAGGCAAAAGAGGCAGGGGTAGGCCGAGAGCATCCTACTTAGGGAACCTAAACAAATGAGTAACGGGGAATGGTCAGGGAAACGTAGCTTTTTTAAGAGCATCCGAGCAAAGGAATGAATGGAGAACAATGACTGCCTATGTCTGTCGCAGATCTGGCACTGGGCGATGATGATGATGATGATGTACGTTTGTCATTGTAAACCAAATTGCCATTCTGGGATCGATAAAACTGTAATTTATTATAATATTATTTTTAAAATTTCTATTCCATTTCCCCCCAACAGACTCACGGGACAAGGCGCCGTACTCACCACAAGAGTACATCGACGCCTACAAAGAACCGGAGCACGACTGGCGGTCCGACAATATCATCATCACACCGCCTAAGATCCCTGCGCTACAGAAACTGAAGACCATCGGTCAGAACTTCAAGACCACCGTGGACCCACCCTGGTCTTACTTACTGAATTTTAACGCCGTGCTATTAATAGCGGCTTTAGGATTTTTGTGCGGGTTCTTTCATTAATTAATTAAGAATTGTTGTAATAATAAAAGTAATATTATCTCATATTGAGCATTCTTCTTGGGTAACGCCTGGGGTTTGTCGCTGTGTGTTGTGGGTAACTCTAAATAGACCCACTGCTCACAATCAGGATCTGCAACCCGTGGGATGGTGACATTACGCGTTAAATCTGTCTCGCAACAGATTTGGAATAGAGTTATTAAAGATTAGAGGCTGCAGTTGATTACTTACTTTTTCCTTCTTCTGGTATCCTTAGGATATCGAGGGGGATGTGCAGGTTTCAGTTCTGTGCTAAGTGTGTGGCGTAGCTGTTGATTTAGGTTAGGTTTAAAGGTTGCACTTCGAAGATGGTAGCTTCTTCCAACTGCAGTTTCTGAAGTTAATGCTGCCTGCGGGTGGGTGGTGTCACGTGACCTCTCTATCATCGGTTGCTTGCTTGCGGCGTCATGTCGCGTACCAACATTACTACCTGGTCCTGATTATCTGAAACAAATGGTGTCACCCACTTGGTGGTCTACCGCGATTATAAGCCGTTCTACCAAAAGTCCAATCTGACTGGACATAGTAAATGCTTACCCGTGCTGCCTAAAATGTACAAAAGATGGCGATGCTAACCTAACCTAAACCCAACCCCCAAACCTAACCCTAATCCAGATCCTAACCCCAACCCTTACCTAACCCTATTCTGCCCTATCCCTGTCTTACCAGCCCTAACTGTAGCCTTAACCCTTAACCCCAAAACCTTATCCTATCCCTAACCCTAACCCTATTCGACCTATCCTCATCCCTTCCAGCTCTATCCCTATCTTTGCTGGTAGACTAGTAGACCGTCAAGTGAATCAATTCGTTTTCCCAGAATTACTAAGCTTTTTCTGCTCAGTACCTAGTTTTGAGACATTATATGTAGAACATTTTGAGCTTAACAACATGGCAAACTTTTTCGAATGGAATTCTTTGAACATATTGATAACGACTCCGAATATTCTTACGATTTTCATAGAGCTGATAGAATATTTTGTTTCTGACCTCACGGTCTTCGTAATTCAAAACGACGTAACACGTCAGATAGAACTTTGTAATTCTAAGGTAGCGAGTTGTCAGACTCGACCGAAGGTAGACCGTCAAGTAGACCGTCAAGTAGACCGTCAAGTAGACCGTCAAGTAGACCGTCAAGTAGACTGTCAAGTAGACTGTCACCAAACCAACTTCAGTCTTTTGTAAAATTTCTAAACCTTCGTCTTGTTATCTTCATCCCTTTAATTAACCCCCCCCCTGATTTATCTACGTCAGTGTTACGACTATTTCTTTATTGTATTACTTTTAAAAAACTCTCTCACCTCTTTGCTTCCCAGCCCTCAAAGTGATCAACTTTTTGTCTTGAAGACAAGAAAAAGCAAAGTATTCAGACCTCTCATCAAGTATAAACCATCATCAGCACTTTTCCCAACTGTGTCTCGTATTTTAAAAGCGCCAAAAGTAAGTGGCTGGCAGGTTCTTTAGTGTACTTTGCTCTTTCTTTCCCATAGAAAATCCTATATGGTCAATGGTTTTTCAGCAACGCACCATAACCCTAGCTCAAAAACAGAGCACTGCATAGTGGCGACGGGCAATGGCGTGCTGTGAAGTCTTTGTTAGTGATATTGTGTTTTATGTATGCATTTATGTATTAATGTTAATATATGAATGTGTATTTTTATGTGAACCTATGTTAAACCCTTTCCAAGGGGACCAACTAAATGGAAATTGTTTTGATTATTTTTAATTTTTAATTTTCTTTAGCTGGCCCAATATTCCAAAGCAGTAGCAGCGGGGCTTGTCAATTATTAGTGGCGACTGTAGTAGCGGTGGAAAGTAGTCCATGATGATCTATGCACAAAGGTCAACGTTGTTGTGCTGACGACATGGCGGGCAGTAGAGTTGGGCGAAGAGTTGATTCTGGAACCGATTCCCACGATTAACACTACGAAAGTAAAGTTCCGTCTCCTTTTTACGTAAACCAACGGTTGCCAGTTATTTTTATCATAAAAAATCTACTTAAAAAAAAAAAGAATTTATTTTTGAAAAAAAATTGAAGTTGGTACTTCGTAGTGTTCCGATATCAAGGTTATCCTAAATCCTGAAGATGTTCGGAGCCAACCAGGTAACCACCGGAAAAAAATAACATTATTAGAAATAAGTAATGGGTTCGGAGTCGATTCCTACGATCCCTAGCTTTCAATAATCGGGAACCTAACCGCCCAGCACTAGCGGGCAGTTCCTTCAATACATTCCTAGCCAGTGTTCCTCTGCTTTCCTTTATTCTTCTCGAGGTGGATGGCCCCCTCTAATTTATATATAAATTATATATTAATTGATTCATAAGTGTCTTACGGTGATCGCAATTGCATTAGTTCATATTCAGTTTGGTACGAATCCATATTTGAATTTTGCTCGGGTGGCCGCCGAAGCCTATTCTTATCAATTTTGGATCTTTAACGTGCGCAATTTGAACACTGGACCTCCGAAATGTTTTTGTCCTTCCCGAGAAGGCTAGGCGCTAGATCTTACCCACCCCAAGATCAGGGTTGTGTCTGAAAGACATCAGTAAGAAGGAGCCAAGAAGTAGCAGAAGAAAGGCTGCAGAAAGAGTCAGGAGCCCAAGGGAGGCGGCATGGGAGGTGAGGGGGTGGGGCTGAGGGTGGGGGCAGAAAGAGGAGATGAAATCAGACGACAGAGCATGGTTAGAGAGCAGGAAAGGGCCAGTGTTCTTCTGCATTCGTTTATTCTTCCCGAGGTGGAGGGCTCCTCTGCTTTGCGCCCCCCCCCAAAAAAAACCCCGCTCTGAAGACAGTCTTCTCTTACCACACAATTGTGTTCGCGCTGTATTACTCTACGTACTATGACACGTAATAATGGCAAGGGCGCTCCGATGGCTTTGTTGGAATCATGCTAGATTTCGGAAGGGATGACCCTGGTTCGAATCCCAAACTGGATGATCTTGGAATCGGGTTATTTTGTGGAGTTTTCGAGGGTCTCAGCTCATTTGGTTCAGTTTTACCGAAGACGGACTCAAGGTTAGGAGACTTCCGCCTTTTAAATAACCTAATAGTGTCGATAGGGGCGTTAAACATATGGCCAATGCGTGCCAGAAAATGACGACAGCACTGAATTCAGGGAAAGAATATTGGTTTTGCATTGTTTTTTAATCTTGTCTTTCTCCAAGTGGTTCAAACTGTGTTGATGGGGGCGTAAAACACCTAGATATATTTTAAAGGTTTTTCAAATGCCTTTGTCAGCATCTTCAGTTGACCTCTGTTGAGGTCATTTACCTATTGCAAGATCTTAAGCAAGAGGTTTCTAAATTAAATGTTTTAAAATTAATTTGCGTGTTGTTTTGTTTTGTGTCCTTGTCTTTTCCTTTATATTACATTGCAGTTGCCAGTGATCTCGATCTCAACGCGTTTTTAAGAAGTTTGATTTAATAGCGCTCACAAATTTGCCCCTCGATTTCAACACGAATAGGGTTTTCTTTGAAGATCACCTCAAAGGGGATCTAACTCAATTTAAAAGTTGAAGCAAAACATACTATTCGAATACTTGTTCGAGTATCAGACAGACAGCATTGTTTCAACATGCTGACCTCAAGATCACAAAGGATCAACTTGGACTGGACGACCGCTTGGAGTTAAACACATTCATTAGTGCTAGTAGATAACTCCCTTTCTTGGGCAAACCAAAATGTGGATAAGATAGTGCAAGATAGCATTTAGTCCGGGATTACGATGTGTATTTTGTAAAATGTCTTTTTACGTCAAATTGAAGACTTAGGAACAACAACAAGGTTAAGTCACATTTTCCTTAATAAAGAGTTCTGAATATCATTCGGCGACAAAAGGCTATCTATTGGTAGCACTGACGAAGCGATGTTCTGTTCCTACGCCTCGTTATTCTTGTTCAAAGACGGGAAGCCTAAATGCAACAACAAGGTTAAGTCCAGTAAAAAGTCTATTTAATTTAGCCCTCAAATTGGAACTTTCTTGAATGTATTTTACAAATGAGGTTCTTGCTCATTTTCTCGAATCATCTAAATGTGACTTGACTTAGTGTTGTTCTCAGGCCTTCAATTCCATTTAACACCATAGAGGTCAAAAGTCTAAGGTCATTTGTGGCGTATAGTCTAAACTAAATAACCCGCTGGTGTTCGCGAAAGATATGAGTTCAATCTCCAAACAGGGGGAAATCTGTTTTATCGAGTATTCCCGTCTTTATACACAGAACTGTATTCCTCTGAGCGTACGTTGAACATACATAGCAGCCGGCGTCTATAATGATCTTAATTGTGTTGATGGAGGCGCATTAGGCCTACATAAACGTATTTTCATTTTAAATCAGACGGATTCGAACAGTAATTTATTTGTTTTCAGCTAGATAAACCTTTCCTGAGCCGATCATCCTTTTTTCGTTGATTCTCATTTGCGTTGCGTATTCCCTTTTTTCAATACATGCAAAAATGAATCTTTCATCTTAAACCATCTTATGACCTTCAGAAACAATTACAGCAACCTTTTATGGATCGTGACTTAAGAGTTTTGGGGATTATTTTGAGAGGAGGGAGAGCGTTCAAAGGGGGCAGGCTCTTCTATTTGTGAGAAAACTGTTTTGTCCAAGGAAGAAATAATGTATTAATAGAAATACAAGCTGTATGCTTTTGTTATTACTGTGTTGCTTTTGCTGCAAAGAAATTTCCCTTTTGTTAGTATTGAAGAGAGTTAGAAAGCGAAAGCCAATCCGGCAGCAAACCAAAGCCGATAAAGAGACAAGTGAACAGTCCACTGAACTGAAGAAATGTTTTATTTAAAAAAGAAATCTCTGGTTTTGTTCCGTACCCGAATACATTTCAATTCAACTTTTGTAATATTTTGCCATTGCAGAGGTGGAAGTGGTGTTCCTGATACAAATTTTTTTACCTTGCTTGAGAGAAAGGGGGAGAGACAGACAGTGAGACAGAAGCTTACTAGCCATTCCTTGAATGTAAGCCTAGAGAAAGAAATGAACAATGTCAATGACACTAGTGACAGAACGACACCAGGACATGTCAGTGTGACAAGTCAGTGTGCCACGCCAGTGTGTCATGCCATACCGTGTTCTCATCATGTATGACGATGGTTGTTGGCAGTGCGCAAGATGCATGGCAGTTGGTGGAGTGTATAAATAAATATTGGTAAAGCTGGATGTCTTGAATTGCCATAATAAAATTTATTTGTATATATAAATTATATTATATCTATATTCTTCTCGCGTCATATAGTAGATGTCACATGGATGCCTGATGTTCTCTGGGCATCGTATTTGTCCCTTCTTCATATGCATCAGAGAGCACTCACACGTACATAGCATGGTGTAACAGATGACATGACGTCACAGCTAATAATAGCTCTAGCCGTCAGAGATAGATAGATAGATAGATAGATCAGAATGAAAAGAGAGTGAACATGATATTGAACGAATGTCAAAACAAGTAACAGAAAAGCACCGCAGCAAACAATTGCATGTACTCACTAGAACCTCAGCAGTCCTCGATCTCAAACGCTGGCCACAGTAACTCTAAACTTGAAGCAAAACTCACTCCAAACATTACGTGGACAGCGCTGAGAGAACCCAGAGGGGCTTGCAATATTATTTCTTATTGCTTGAAACAACACTCAAGGCTTAGCGCAATAATGATACATGATATGGCATATAGAAAAAAACCGCAGCCATCGTTTTTTTATCACAATGATAAATATGTAAAAAAATGTTTACATGACAAAGGTAATGAAATGTTTACAGAAATATTGCACGTAAGTTTTTCCCCCTTTTCCAGTTAACAGCATCACATTCCTGTTAAAAACAAAAAAGATGGTGTCTGATCTGCACATTCGATTCTCAAATACGTAGAGGTATTTGGTGTTGATGGAAAATCAAGTGTAAATTCGCGGAATAGATGAGGAGATTTACGACATGTTTGAATCACCTGATAACAGGCATTCATCTTGTCGTCTGCTCATCCTCCTACGAAATTATCTTGATGACGTACAGACAATTGTTTTCGTTGTCGAGTTGTAAACAAAATAAAGCTGAATAAACTATAGTCTTTGAAATAGAAATAAAGACGAGCTGTCTTTGAACAATATTTACATGCTTTATTTTGCAGAGAATGTGTACCTAAATGATTAATGGAAGCAAGGATGCTATGGGTGAAATAGAAGATCAAATGACACTATTTCAAATTTTATGCTCTGGTATTTGGTACTTCGCTGCTAAGATAATTGGGTCCATGTCAATCCGATCTTTGAGTCCTGGTGTCGGTGGCCTCAGGTTCCAGTACTCCTTTCCGATTCCGCCCTGATACAAGATGAAAGACATCGAAGGGGGGACTGGTCTTTTTATCCGGCAGTTGTATCCCTTCCTGGAACAATGACCCATTGTGTAGCAGGATTTCGAAACACACAAGAAATACCTTGCTAGTAGTTGTTAACTTTCCGCTTCTCGCTTTCTCCTTTCTGTTGTTGATTATATTATTTCATCAGTTGTTCCTTGTTGTTCGATCTTGTTGGCAAAATATTCAGCAGTCGATGTCATCCCATCCCACATCAGGCTATTATAGGACAAGACTGGAAAAGTCTTGCCCCCCTCTCGCCGTCATGGGGTGGTGGTGTCACCAGAAAGCTTGTGGTAGAACTCGGAGGTGTTGTTGAAGTCGCGTGTGTTGACTGACCAGCGTGCAGTTGGCAGATCTGTGCCGTGTTTGAGTTGACCAGCGAGCTGAAGCATTGGCGCAAAGAGCGAGACAGGAGAGAGGAGACGCAACATTAATCCTTTGTACACAGAAAGATGAGCTACTCTTGCAGAAATCTGAGGAAGACAACAGGAAATAACGTTTCGTCAGAATAGATAAAAACTTTCCAGGACTCTTCTGTATCAGATACAAGTTGTCATAAACAAGCGTGATGTTGTCATTGATCCAGAATAAAACAAACATGAACATTTCGTTGTTTAGGATGAAATAAAACATCATTGACAAGATCAATACATGTAATTTAACAGCTATCTTTATCTATACCCACAGACATTTCCTGTGAATAATTGTAAACACATACATTCAATTCCAATACTGGAGGGAATGTTCTGTTGGACTTCTGTTCAATATTTTCTGGATATTGATAGTGCTCATTATTTCAAAGGAAAAGCAGTCATTATGATTTCCTGGAACGAAGGATATCACCACGTTCGACATAGTTAAAACCGGGCTGTGTTAGCATATTGATTCTTCATAATATTATCGTCTTACATATCTTTCTTACAATCTTCTCTCATCTATCTTCTAGTATTCATTTTGTTTTATTAGATTCCAGACAGGTAACGACGTAACAAGTCAGAATCAAAGAACGAGACTAAAGACGAAAGTATAAAGGACAACATCTAACAGTTTACACATAAGCCAAAACAACAAACGACAATACCTCATAATTTAAACAAAAGACAAAATCACAAAAGGCAATAACGCACAATTTCCACAAAACGATGAAGGGCAATAACAAAAAGTTTACATAAAAGACAAAACGATAGAGGGGCAATAACTTACAGTTTACACTTTGACCACTCTGGTGATCTCCCTTGTCACTGACATGGAGCGGGAACGACGCACGGTCTGCAGGTTCTTCTCAGCCACGTCAGCGCGGGACTCAGCCTCTTCCACGAGAGCCTGGGCCTTGCGGTACTTGTTCATGGTCAGGTTGGCAACATCCTCCTACAGGGCACAGACGGGGAGGGAATAAGTTCGATTCCAGGTTTTTTTAAAATACAGCTGTATATATATATAAATGGAAGACTGTGGCAGTTGAAGAACGTGTTTTAAATGTTTTTATACTTCCTCAAAAACTCACACACACAGAACCTATTTTTTCTTCTCTCTCTCTCTCTCTCTCTCTCTTTCTCTCTCTCTCTCTCTCTCTCTCTCCCCCCCCTCTCTCTCTCTCTCTCTATCTCTCTCTCTCACTCTCTCTCTCTCTCACTCTCTCTCTCTCTCTTTCTTAATTTCTATGTCTATCTGTTTCTGTTTGTCTATCTCATTTCTTTCAATCTCTCCCGCAGATGCACAAACACAACACTACACAACACGCACAGAGAGACACACACAGCACACACCTTCCTCCTCCCCCTCGTTCTCTGTCCCTCTGTCTTTCTCTCTGTCTCTGTTTCTCTCTCTCTCTCTCTCTCTCTCTCTCTCTCTCTCTCTCTCTCTCTCTCTGTCTGTCTCTGTCTCTGTCTCTTTCTCTCTGTCTCTCTCTCTCTGCCTCTCTCTCTCTCTGTCTCTCTCTCTCTCTGTCTGTCTGTCTCTCCCTCTCTCCCTCTTACACACAAACAACCACATCCACAACACTCACAGCCTCCTCAATCTGCCTCTTGTAGGTCTTGAGTCTGATGCTAAGCTGATCGTTCAAGCTGGAGAGCTCAGCCAGCTGCTTCCTCTCCTCCTCGGTCTGGGTCTGCAGTTCCTTGTAGAATCGCTCAGCCTTGCGCTGGTTGGACACGGCCTCACGCACACGCCTGTTCTCGGCCTCCAGCTCAGCCTCAAGGTCACGTACCTGAAAGGTCAAGGTTCACCAGTTGTTAGACGGGCTGACATAATATTCATGAATACAACGTATGCTCGAAGACACAAACGAAAAGTAAAACCCGACCAACGAGACAATCACTTCAAACACACGCAAAGAAACAAGACAACTCCCCCCCCCCCCCAAAGACAAGCCCACCCTAAAACCAGTTAAATTTCATTCATCTGCTCTATAGAATCCCACCAATTATCGAAGGCATAGACAAACACCAAATTAAAATCAACAACAACAAAAAAAACCATCACCACGACCACCACCACCACCACCAGCAACAACAACAAGAACACAATGTAATTCCCAGATTAAATACTTACTCGAATGGATATTACGAGTATTAGATCTATACCATCCATTATCGAAAACAGTGATGAAAAAAATATCCTCCCCCCTCCCTTCCCCTCTCCCCAAAATCTCTTAAAGAATACGACCCTCCAACCTCTTCCCCATCCTCAACCACCTCCCCCTACCCGCAGATAATCCAAAACCACTCACTCTGGCCTGCAGTTTGGCGACCATCCTCTTGCCCTCTCTCTGGGCGAAAGCCTCAGCCTCCTCAAGACGCACGGTGATCTCACGGATCTCAATCTCCAGCTGTTTGCGGAGGCTCTCGGCGTTCTTGTAGTTCTCCTGCAGGGACACAAAGTTACGACCATCACGTATCAGTTTAGTTATATTGAGAGTTTTCCGGCATTTAGCTAGTTTTAGTAGAGTTTTTACGGCGCTTGCAACTGCATAAGGTTATATGAGCGCCATTACGGCATTCGCAACTCAAATAGGTCTGTAATAAATTTAAATGCCGAAGATTAGAGGTGATACTGTTGTTTAGTAAGAGTTTTAAAACGCTAGTTATACAGTTAGGTCCTATAGGTGCTGAAGATTAAAAGTACGCTTCCTTAGAATTTTAAAGTTCTATCTGAAATGTTTTGGCTGTTCTGAGTTACTAAGACCTTGAGGTCAGAGACCATAATGTTCTATTTGGTCTATCATAAGATTATTCGGATTCGCTTTCAAGATATTCACAGAATTGCGTTCAGAATTGCTTTCGAAAAAGCTTGACATTTTGTGAAACTCAAAATTTTTAAAAGTCAAATTTCTCAAATATAGGGAATAGAACCTTGTAATCATTATTATTATCATTATCATAATCATCATCATCATCATTATTATTATTATCATTATTATTATAT